GTGAGATGAGAAAGAGGTACAGGAAGGTCCATTCAGATGTCATTGCAATAGTTCAGGTGAGATGCAATGAAGGCCTGAATTAGGGTAGTGGCCATGTTACTAAAGAGAAGAGGATGGATATGAAAGACATCAGGGAAGTAGAAACAATGAGTTTGGCAACTGATTGGATATGTTGGGTAAGGGAAAGTGAGATGTCAAGAATATCACTGAGTTTGTAAAGCTGAGTGACTGGAAAGCAGGTGGTCTACTCGACAGAAATAGGAAACTTTAGAAAGAAGGTGGGTTTGAGGAGAAAGATGATAGGTTCAGTTTTGGACATGTAGCATCTGAGATACCTATGGAAGTTTGAAATATCCAATAGGACATTTGATATGGCGAGATTGGAGCTCAGGAGAGAGACTAGGGCTACATAAATAGATTTGGGAGTAATCTGCAGAGGGTTGATAATTAATCCCATGGGAGCTGATGAGCTCACCAAGTAAGAGAGGATGAAATGAAAACACCCAAGACTGTGGTAAACCCACAGTTAAGGGGCATGATATGGTTGATAAACTAGGGGAGGAGCATGAGAAAGAATGATTAGACAAGGAAGAGAACCAAGGGAGTGCAATGAAATGAAAATTCAGAAAAGGGAAAGTTTCTAGAAGGAAAAGGTATTCAGTATATAAAATGCTGCAGAGAGATCAAGGGGGATGAGAGAAATGGGGTTCAACACAGAATCAAGTAAATATAAGCTGAAAGCACAGGCTACTCTGGTACCAGATTTTCTTGAAAGCATTGAAATTCAAGGTCTGAGAAAAATGACAAAAGACAGAGGAAAGGCTGCAAAGTTGACTTTATGAATCAACCTTCCTGCCCTAAATATCTATCTTTTTTATGACAGATCCTTGTGTTCTATTCCCCCAATCTACTCGGACATGCTGGTGTGACTATAGGCTGGGTCCTCTGTATCTTCTGATTGAGCCATGTTGATATAGTCTAAATTCAGACTAGTATAAACTAGAAATACTATAGGAGTTCACTGTATTGAAGCGTAAGTTAGGGCTGATATACTCAGGGACGGCTTCATAGAGGAAGCCAAACTTGAGCTAGGCATTGAAGCATAGAAAGTAGTTTCAATATGTGAAAGGAAGGAAAGGGAATATTGTAGGCAGTATGGGGGCAACCCAAGCAAAGGCACAGGGGCAGGAATGAGCATGAGACTTCATTGAATGATATATTTAACTAGAACATAGAGTGAGTGTCAAGAAGTTTGGGAAATAAGGCTAGGTAGGTTAAATGAAATCTTTGAAGGTCTTGGACTCCAAGCAGAACTTGGATGCCTTTTAGATTTGTTAGGATGGGAAATAGTCATTAATGAGCTTAGTGTAATGGATAGACCCCTGAATCTTGAGTCAAGGGATATGAGTTCCTCTTCTGATTCTGCTACGTATTAGCTACATGACCTTCAGAAAGATCCATCATATTCCTGGTACTTAATTTTCTCATAGATAGTCTGTAAGCTCCACTGATATCCTTACAATGTCAAAAGAGCATAAGCAATGTTCTGTGTGACAACCACAAGGGAAGATAAGGATGAGAGCTACACTAGGCAGGAATATTCACATCTTTCTCATCACAGGTCCATTTGGAGCAGAAAAAAAAATTGAAGTATCTGAACTAGATGATCTCTGAGGTACACTCTAACTCAATATTTTATGATTCTATGAGGATTATAAACAGGGAGGTGACATGATGACAGCAGAGCTCTAGGAGAATTAGTCTGGCAGCAGGATGGATAGCCTGTCATACAGACCAGCAAGAGGGCTATCGGAGAAATACAAGGCTGAGATGATAAGGGTCTGAACTATGAGGCAGAGGTGGGAACTGAGGGAAATACATGAATCTATGAGACAATCTGAAGGAAAAATTAACAGGCCTTGGTGACAGAGTGGCTATGACTGATAAAGGAGAGTAATGAGTCAAAGATAAATACCATGGCTTAATACCTTGGTGACTTAATACCATGGGGGAGTGTTAGTGTCATTGATAGTGATAGAAGTCAGAAGGGGAAGAAGTATACTCCTGTACTTTCATATAGATATATGGTATAAAACCCATATGCGTGTATACATATACACATGTGTTATAAACCAATATGTATTGCAATGACTGCGACAATGTAGATGGAAACAATAATAACAAGCAAACTAAAAATCAGAATTGGAATGCTGTGAAATTATCTACCAAACCTGGCCCCAAAGAAGATCTATGAGAATGTACTGCCCTTCCGTATTTGTAGACTTGTAGATACAGTCATATCTACAAATGTATGAAACACTGTGGATAATGTTAGATTTGTTTGACTAAATTTGTTTCACTAAATTTTTCTTCTCCTTTTCATTCTTTGTGATGGCACTCTGGAAGGGAAAGAGAGGGAGATGTATTGGGAAGTGAAGATGATATAAAAATGAAAGACATCAATAAAATGTTTTTAAAAATAGATTACGGCTGGAGGTAGTTTTATAAGACTGGTTTTATTGACTAATCAAAATTTAAAAAACAAATCAATAAAATTTGAAACAATTTTTAGAGGTTGTGAAATGAATGTAATTCAGATTAATTGAGATATATTAACTTTGAAAAGTCACTTAAACTTTTTGGAGCTCAGTTGTTTTATACAAACAATGTTGATAATGGTTTCCCTGCCTGAGTGAAGGGGACTAGACTGGGCAATCTCTTCAGGTTCCTTCCAGTTTTAAGATTTCTAAATTTGTTAGATTTTCATGGGGAATGCAAAAAAAGTGGTTATTTTAAAAGAGAGTATTTTAAGGAATCATGTGGGGAAATCAATAATGTAGTATGGTATACTGGATTTAGAGTCAGAAGAATTGGTTTTGAATCCCAGTTCTGCTCTTTCCTTCCAGTGTGACCTTGGGTGAGGCCCTTCATGTCTCTGGCCTTGTTTCATTATCTGCAAAATAAGAGTTGGCCTGAATGAATAAGTGGAAAAGATTGCCACAAGAATAAGTTCTCTCACACTGAGTGTCAAACAAAAGCTTGATTTGTCAGATATGTTGTATAAGGCATTCACAGCAAGACACGGGTCGAATTTAATGGCTTCTGGAGCCCCATAGAGCTTTGAGATTAAGTGACTCTCCCCCTTATAGCTCTAACTCCTATGTTCCTATGATAAGCAAATTTTCATTTTTCAAAGATATTATTTGCCTTTCCATGACACATGAAAGACAGCATGGCATGGTGGATAGAGACCAGGCCTTGGAAAAAGGAAGGCATGGCTTCATGACCTGCCTATAATATGACTCTGTGATCCTAAACAAGTCACTTCACCTCCCAATGTCCCTAGCAACTCTAGACTCTAATTTTCACAGTAGGTGATGACTTACATTGGTAGAGGAAGTTCCTTACTGGTAACTCACTTCGAAATCACAGATCTATATTAAAAAAAAAAGACAGAATAAAAGAAACATACCAAGTATGTGACCATTAGAAAGTTAAGAAGAATATGGTTCAGACAAGTTGCTGACCTGCATCAGAGGAAGAAATTTCCACACCATGAGTTCTCAACACTGATGAAATCCTATGTCCAGATCAAGAAAAAATTACTAGATATCCTCATTATTTATCTAAATATTTAAAAATTTAGCAAAATAGAGCTAACACTATTTTGAAGATATTTCCAAGATAAAGTACTTTGAAATTATACCCTTACTTGACTGTCTTATTGTATACATTGCTTTACCAAAGAAAAAGTATTTGATGAGCCATGTAAAAGACATTGTTTTAAAAAACACTCTTCCTAAGCTAAAAACAAGCTTTTCAGTTCCACACCAAGAGTTAACTTCATCACAGGTGCACTGAAGAGTCGCTTATAAACAATGATGCTTTCGGTTAAACCTTGCACATGAATAGTAGCTTTATTCCTGCCTGTGTGTGTTCATGCCATCATTACACTTATTTATTTTTTGCTCACGTTGTGCTTAATGCAAGGAAAGTACCTGCTTTGTGTGTTTTCCAAACACTTCAGAGGCTTTCAAGATGTGGGGAGCTGCTGTCCATTTTTCTTAATGTAAACCCTTATTTACCTTGTTATTGTTCTTTCCCCCAACTGCATCTCTTGAACACCAGACATGCAGAGAACTCTATATGTGGGAGAGCACCTGATGGGAAGTTCTGGCTCATGTGCTAAGCATGTTTGGCAAGATTTTTGCCATGGCAGCAGGCATCATCCCGAAATCATTTCTTCATAAAAAACAACCTGAATAACGGCACAGAATTTAGAAAATAGCAGCTAAGTCAGTTAAGGTATACCTAATCCATTCGTGGGTTCTTGCCAAAATTATAAAAGGGTAATGTATGGATATTTTTATTGTTCAGTGTTCCCTAATTACAGTCCCTGGTGGTCTGAAAACTTTGATGAAAGATATACAGGCTCTAGCAATTAACCATAGCAACAGCAGATGTTGTACAGTAGAATTGATGTGTTCGTGAGCTAGCAACATGTTTGGATTTTGAATATGCATTGCAGATAATGAGCTCTAGTTTTATCATAGAAAAATAATTTGGAAAGATAAATGACAGTCTCGTGAAGCATGTAGAGTTTCTTTTGTTTCTTTTTCTAAAAATCTGCCCTGTCATATGGGGCAATTACTTCAGTTTTATTATTTGTGGCCTTATTTCATCTCTGTTCTGCAAAATTTTGTATTTATGAAAGCATCTATCCTGCAAACAAGAGATCATTAAAAAAAAAAAGGTTGTCTTTAGTTCGGTATATCCCTGCTTTGCCAGTTATATGACACTTTATCTTCATGCTATGACTGCTTTCTTCTGAGAGGGAAATTCCTTTTTCATCAGTATGGATGTACTGTTTTCACATATTACAAGTGCTGTGTTGCCTTGTCAGTCATCCTATTACAACCAGTTTCAGACCAGTAGAGCTGACGAAATGGCTGTTGATAGGCTAGCATCGACTGGGAGGGACTTGTTGGAAGGAAGGGCTGCAGTCTTACAGCAACAGAGTTTAGACGGTGTCTTTGCTTCATCATCTGAAGGGAAAATTCCCAGGCAGAAGGCTTCTCGAGTACAATAAAAAGGGAATGAGAGGTATTTACCCGAACGTTTCTTCCTAATGATGCAGTGGGAAAGGTTTGGCCATTTGATTTTACCAGATGGCCCTGTGCTGATTACAAACGTGAGGAGCAGACAGAGCTAAATAAGGTAGGAGATTCATTGTCCCCCCCCCCCTTTTTTTTTGAATGTTTAAAGAGTTTGCTGCAGTGTGCTGCATACCATGTGTGTTGCTTAGGGAAGCCAGTGAAACTGAATTCCTCCGATGCAAATATAGCGCTTGAAGCAGAGACTAGAGTTTTACGTAATATTTTCCTTTCAGGGAAAGAGGTGGCACAACTTGAATCAAAACCACTCGATTTGAGGGTGAGAGAGAAAATTGTGATTTTTTGTTTAAGGAAAAGATCGATAGATCTTTCTAAAAGTACTGTGCTACTTAATTGGATTCTTCATAGCCTTCTCATAGCCTGCTCTGGAAAGATTTCATACAGGGATAGTTAACCCCTAAATCAATAAAGTTTACAATGACTATGTTATTTGAAAAACTGACTCGTAATGGGGGGGGGGGGGGCGGGAGGGAGAAAGAAAAAAAAAAAGAACCTCCCTTGTAAACAATTACGGGTAGAATGCTTGACCAAATGAGAAGGACAGTCTGTTTAGAAACGAAGGACTGATACACCTCGGATACATTGTGCCTTTTAATGGAGTTTGAAAAGCACATTTTTAATAACATAGCCAGGCAGTTTCTGGCAAGTTTTTGATACTGTAGCTCAATGTTTACAGTTCTTTTTCTGGCAAGGCTGAGTCTTTGTTTCCAGCTTAGAAGTAGAACCATTATATAAAAAAGTAAAGCTGGGTGAATAATGCTCACTGCAATTATCTGATCTTTATGCATTTTTAATGAGAACACACAGCCAGCAGAATAATTTAATGAGGGCAGGCTAGCTTTTAAAGCTGTGTTTTCACTATGCTGAACCATATCAACTTTCTTCCTGAGAACTAAGAGTGGGAAATGGAGAAGATTTATATTTAACACACTTGGCATTGGGAAATGAAGGGCTATATTTGTTGAGGAATTCTCGCTGCCCTTTCTGTTTTAAATTCTGCCAGGCAGAGGGGATCAGTGCCTTTTTGTTAGGCCATGGAAGCATGTGTTTACAATAAATGTGTAACATTTTCAGAATAGTTAGCAAGCACTGAAGCGAGGAAAGAAAGCCTAGCTCTTCCCTTAGCACCACAGAGAATGCTCTTCAAAGCACCATTTACTGTCACATTAACAATGCTTATATTTAAAGATTTTTTTATAATCGGGTAATATTTATTAATATGAAACTAAAACCATTAGTCCATTTCACATGGCATTTTCTTATCTATAAATAAAAGTAATTTTTCTAAGGTCTCTCGACTGATTTTACAAGGAATAGCCCAACCACTTATTTAAAAACAAGTCTAATGCCACATAGATTCTTCTAGACCCACTGATTTTACTTTCAAGGAGAAGTGCAGGACACTAGCCCAGAACTTCTGACGTCATCTCCCAACTATTTCTGCTGTCTGTTCTTGTATTCAAGATTCTGGTGAGAGGCATTCTAACTCCAGATTGACAGGTCTTGAGTTATGTCTTCAAATGGTGAAATGTCTAAATTCTAAACTGACCTGAATTGTTAAGAGGGTTTCTATCTAATACCTGCCTGATAATCAGACAGTAGAGGCCTTCTGTCTGGTGCCCGGATTGGGAGGGGGGAGGGAATGACGAGAGGTGCTGGCACACTGAAGCAGAGAGCTTCTCTGGCCCATCCTCCCTTTTGGTGCATACAGGCAGTTGAAACCATATCCAGTCTCCCCAGAATGAGGACTGAGGAGGCAGCTTCCACCAGGGTCCAGGCATAGTCACGATGGTGGCAACAGCTACTGCTGTGCAGAGACTCCATACCACCACCATATATTGGTCCAGGAGGGCCAGAAGAACAGGAAAGTGATAGCAGTTAATGCGGCACAGGTGGGAAGCTGTTATTAGACATCCGTGTGCAAGTTTGTTTTTGATAACAAGCCTTTGAGGAAAGAATTTTGATTAGAACAGTTTGTGTCAGGAGTTCCAGATCCTATTCTATATTCACACTAGCTGATTGTGTAACCTTGGGCAAGTCACTACTGCAGTGTTTCAATATTTAAAGTGAGCAACACTGACCCTTTACCTTGTAATTTTTAGGAGTATGAGATATTTTATATTCAAAGAAGTTGTTTCTCTCTTGGTAAAATTATGTCTTTAATGTACAAAGGCATAAAGCCCTAGTATTAATGAAACTAACTAGGCAAAGGCTTCCGGGAATTAAGATGTATGATAGTGTATACTTAACCCTTCACAGTCTTGCGTAGTTTTATTTTTCTAGAAATTTTCATGCTTATCCTGCAAGAATAATTTTGCCAGGTAAACAGAACACAGTGAGAAAGCAACATAAGAGAGAGTGTGTTAATAAAAAAAATTCTAATTATGGATCTTGCTTTTGAGAAAAGGTTTGATATTATTTTGTTTGGCTCTTGTGGCAAGTTTGTGAATGTGGAGAACATAGGAGAGGGTAAATTACAAAGAAATGCTTATAATATACAATAGTTATCACTACTGATTGACTGCTTCCATTTAATACTATCTTCAGTTCAGTGCTCTTATAGCAAAAATAAATTAGGAAGATTGGTGTAAGAGCCAGGTCCAAGATTTCAGCAAGCTACATGAGCATGCAAGACCAAGTGGCCAAGATTGTATGCAAGAGATAAGGATTAGGTGTTCAGAAGGGAGCTGAAAAGTGTGTCCTATGTCAAGTTAAATTTGGGTCACTTACAATAGAGATGTTTTCTTCTTATCTTCCCGTACTATCCTCAAGCAGAGATAGTAAGAAAGGCACCTTGAATTGCTTAGATTTAAAATAAAACCAAAAGTTACACTGCATTGCCATCCTACAAGCATTTTTTTAAAAATTGTTTCAAGTAAAGCTTTCTGATTAACGAAGAGCCATTATAATCTGAGTTGTTGGGTGATAATTACATAGTGGTGAAACCTCTTTGTCCCTTTAGGTATCTGAATTCATCAAAACTAGGCAGGAGGATAACATTGCCTAACCAGGAGTGAGGCAATCTTGGTAAAACACAGGCAGGACAAGGATGGAAAAGCTACAGAAAGGAATATCTGTGTGGATAGTCTGGAATGAAGAGTCAGAGTCAGGGGCCGGGGGGGGGGGGGGTCCCATAAATAAACAAGGTAAAGCTATAGCTTAAAACCTTGTTTTACAGTTCAGGAACAGGTGAACACTCTACTCATCTATAGGTCAGACCATTTATGGACCCAAATCCCAGGTATGTTGTCAGAGACTGGCAGGACAACAAGAACTTTGAAGGAGAAGTAAGAGACTATCTAATCAACTTGAGCTGATGTAGTTCATAGAAACCTTGACATTTTTCCTATTCAAGTGGGAGCCAGTCCTTTAATGAGGCCAACATGAAGACTAATGAGTTAGAGCAGGTGGGTGTACCTGGTTGGGGTGATGAGTGAGGGTGCTGTGAGCACAGGCCTTAACAGGGCCTTGACCTTACCAGAAGTTTTGTAAATATTAGTTCAGTTGAACTTCTTGAGGAGTATTGGGTTATACATTACTAGATATGTGTTGACTTGTGATGTGTCAATGAGCAAGTCATTTGATATTTTATACTTGTTTCTCTTTCGGTATAATGAGACAGGAAGATAAATAACAGAGCTTGTAAATTTGTTACAGGACTCTTTATTCCAAGTTTTTTGATCACCTCAAATTTAAAAAAAAAATCCTACTAGCTATATCTGTGTCATATTAAGCAATAAAAAAATAACATTATGACTAGGTCTATATAAGATAAATGAGTACAAGCTGTACTGTATGGTTTCAGTTTGCTAGCACAAAAAGTTAAGTCAAATGTTTAAAGATAAGGCAGGAAACTTTATTTTGTGAAGCTGAGCAATTTCTTTTTTTTTTTAAGCAAGATTTAGTCTAGAAAATTCCCTTTGCTGTGGCAGATATAAATACCCTGAAATAAAGGTAGACAGGATCATTTTTTGCCTCCATTTAACCTCTGTCAAAGAGTTTGTTATCTAATGAATGAAGTCCATTATCTAAGTCCATTATCTAATGGATGAAGTCTAGGGTATGTGTGCCTGATGTATGATTTACAAAATTGCAATTTAAGCGAAATCTTTGTGGAATGTGTACTTAAATTAGTAATGTTAATCCTTTAGGCAATTAAATCCTATTCAATTTGGGGTCAGATTTGGTGGTGGTACTTTCTGGAAGAACAAATATAAGGACTTCATCACCACAGTTGAATACAAAATCCAATGGAAATTCCAAGAGTGCAAAGCCACTGGGTCCATGTTGTATGTTCACACTGTGTACCATAGCAGCTCTTTATTAGGGCTCATGCTCATGTCATTTTAAAATTTCTGGACTCCAACCAATTAGAGAATAATCTTGGACTGAGTCCCATGCTCCTACAACATGGGGAGCCTTTAGCAAACCATAAAGTATCTGATTGAACCCACGGTCTTCATCCTGTCAAGAAAAAGTGACTCCTGGCCCTGAGGGCATTTTGATCTTTTTCAAAAGCATATTTACCTTCCTAATTATATGTTTCTTTTTCTACAATTAAAGTTAATTTACATTTCCTGAGCATGTTCCAGCTAGGTGATAGGAGGAAGCAACCTGGGAAAGTCCTAAAGGTGAGGGAAGAAGGTTCAGTTTTAAAAATTCGTCACAGACACATATAATTCTCCGAACTTGGATACCCAATTTTATAAACCATATAGCAGGCATGCCCTAGACATTTGACTTGATCATGTTCAGTGTAAAAATGCTACATTAACTAAGAAACATAGATTAGAGTACATAAGAGGCCCTTAATAGACATGTCTTGTTCATCAAGTATATATGTATATATACATGCATGCATTATACATACATGTGTGTATATATGTACATATATAATCTTTGGCATGGAACTGCCCTTAAGTTACAATCAACAGTAATTGGGTGGCCATACAATTTACAGACATACACACTCACAATTCAGGGATAGTTTTTGAAAATACATGTATATAAATTAATATAGTTACATTATATATATCAATTATG